AAAGGTCAGGGAAGTGGGCAAAGGTAGGGCCACTCTGCTTAGCCTGTTAGACAATCTCTCATGTTTTCTTTTCATGTTATCTTTTTAAGCCTCACATTTGCTCTATGAAGTTACAGGTGAGGACACAGGGGTTCATAGACCAGGGCTAGAAGTAGACAGAAAGTAGATTAGTGGTTGCTTAGGGCCATAAGGTTGAGAGAAAATGGGGAGTGACTGCTAATGGGTACTTTCGGAAATGATGAAAATGAAAATGTTTGAAAATTGATGATGGTGATGGTTGCATAACTGTGAATATACTAAAACAAAACACTGAATTGTATACTATTTAAATGGGTGAATTACATGGTAAGTGAATTATAATCATGTACCACATAAGGACATTTTGGTCAATGACAGGTCCCATATAGATTATAAGACTGTTATTTTTACTGTACCTTGTCTTCGTTTAGATAAGTTTAGATACACAAATAGTTACCATTGCATTACAATTATCCAGGGTATTCAGTATAGTCACATGCTGCCCAGGTTCGTAGCCTAAGAACACTATGCAGTTCCACACAGCGGGATGTGCAGAGGCTGCCACATGCACTCTGTGACGTTGGCACCACGATGAAGTCCCTAACAACACATTCCTTAGACAGTGACTCATGACTGTATATCTTCATAAACTGGGCATCCCAGTTTTTGTAGTTGTTTTGTTTTTTAAAAAGGGGGGGCCACATGGAATGAAGTTCCAGAAGTGGACCTTGGAACCATTGTCACCTCTTCTTTTCTTCTCACCTCTCCCATCTGTTTCTGCAGCATGTCCTGCTTCTCTGCCCCCACCGCCTCGGCTATGCACCCCTCCTAAGTGGTCTCCTTGCTGCCCCCTTGCTCCCTGTGGTCTGTCCTCTGCAGAACAGTCACAGCGATCCTTTGAAAGCATTGATGTCAGATCATTGCCCTCTTTTCCTCAGAAGTGTCTAATGGCTCCCTAATAAGATTCCGTTACAATTCAGATCCTGCCCCGGCCACCTTCCCAACCTACTGCCCACTAGCCACACTCCCTCCTCCAGGCCTCTGCACTGTGGCTCCCTTACCCTGGAATACTGTGCCTCCAGATACTCACATGGCTTGTTGTCTAATTTCACTCGGGGCTCTGCTCAACTGTATATACAGCTCCAGAAATACCTCCAATCAAGCCTTGCCCCACCCATCCCTGCTCCTTATTCTCTAACCCCTGACCTGTATGTAAGTTTTCAAATAATTTCAGAGTACTTCTGACCACCTGTCTCCACCACTAGACTCTAAGACCTAGAATAATCCCCAGTACTTAGTAGACACTCAAAAAATGGATAAATGAATCTGAAGCCAAAGCCCTGGTTCCTTTCTGCCCCTGGACTAATCTAACAAAGAAGCTACCCTTTATCTGTGACCCTCTCTATGCCAATCTGTGCACTGCTCATCTTGAATTCCTACCAGGTTGGGAGCTATGGAAGGGCGGGGTCTGCAGGCTGTTTTTTCTTTTTTGAGACAGATTCTCACTATGTTGCCTTCAGTAGAGTGCTGTAGCTTCACAGCTCACAGCACAACCTCAAACTCTCGGGCTTAAGAGATTCTCTTGCCTCAGCCTCCCAAGTAGCTGGGACTATAGGTGCCTGCCACACTCCTGTTTATTGTTTTTTTGTAGTTGTCATTGTTATTTAGCAGGCCCAGGCAGGGTTCAAACCCGCCAGCCCCAGTGTATGTGGCTGGCGCCCTAACCACTGAGCTATGGCACCACACCCCACAATGCAGTCTTAAATGACATATGTAAATCTTTTGTTGACAGAACAGGAAGATAAATTTTAAAACCAATGGCAAGAGTTTAATTTCTCAGCTCCTAAACAGAGCAAAAGGGCCACCTTCATGCCCACTACTCTGAAAAATCCCTGGGCCCCACTCCTGGGGCACTTAAGATCTTAGAGTCAAGCTCAAGTGCTCCTTGGAATGCCTTAGGGAGTGACCTGAGCCGGGGAAAGCTCCTCACAGAATGGAATTTGCCAGCTAAGCCCAGAAAACCATGTGAACAGCAGGCAAACTTAAAGCAAGCACTTAGTGAAATTGCTTTCTGCTATCTCACAGAGAAATAATAGCATGCCAGGCTGGCTTAGGAGAAAATACTCCTGTAAAGGGCTGTGCTTTACTCCCCAACACCAGCTCTCTCACACACACAAGCCTTCAAGGACTCCCCCTATCAACAGGGAGAGCCATGATGCCCCAGCCAGGTCGCCATTCTCCACTCCAACACTCCAGGCCGCTCCAGGAACTCTGCATGCGTTTCTCGTTCCTATTCCTTCCATTGTCTGGCATGCTCTCCCCTCCTTCCCATGTGGGTGAAACTCTACTCTTTCTTTGTTGCCTCCTTTGCAAAGCCTTCCTCTCCCACCCCTGCCATATTGCTCCCTTCTGTGACAGGTGACACTTAGTTCTGAGCTGTAGGTGTCAGAACCTACCTAGCCATCCAATTTACCTCAGAGACAAGGTTAAAGATGACAAGAGAACATCCCCACAGGGAACTTACTGTCTAGTGAGGGAGACCAAAGCAAAGAACTACATAATTGCAAATGGGGAGAAGGGCTAAAAAGGGAAGGTGTGGTGAGAGACACCATTACAGCCAGGTGGGGATGACAGAAAATCGGAACACGTGGGCTTCTCTGAGGAGGTGACATTAACCTGGTTCCTGACAGATGATTAGGAGTGTAACCAAGCAAAGAATGAGGAGAAAACTGTTCTAGGCAGAGAGCACGTGTGAAGATACGGAGCCAGACAGGAAAGGAGTTCACTCCAGGAACCAAATGGTGGCGAGAGGGGAGGCAGACCTTTTAACAGGTACCAAGCCCTCCGAATTGCTGGCTTTTGTTTTGTCTCCCCTCTCCTCAGAAAGGACACAGCCTTTTATTTTATTCCTCTTCCTGCCTCCAGCTGCAGACCAAGACACCTGGTGCTTAACAGGCATTCAACGAGGGGGCTGCAATGTCCCCAGAGATGGGCTAGGGAGCTCTCCTCCTGCCCTCCCCCCTCCCCCCAACAGCAAGTCCTCAGTTGGCTCCCCTAACTGAAGCACTCAGGCACTGGTTAACCACAAGACTAGTCACAGAAACCAAGGCTGGAATGGGAGCAGCTGCAAGAGCTACAGTTACGTCCTTGACAAATGCCACTGACAACCCTAGTTGGCAGATGTGACCACCACATGGTCCTTGGAGACCAGATTCTCAGGGTAAACTTCTATCAGATGGCACTCTGGCATAGGAGGGCCTGCCAAAATTACGAGCCTCAAGACTTCAATTATCAGTTTAAAAGTTCAAAATAATTTCCAAGGTTTAGTAGTTTCTTGATTAAAAAAAAAAATTCAAAGATAAAAAAACAAGTGGGTGGCAAGAATTTCCAAGTTGTCCAGGTGCCCTGTCCTCTATCTCCCCTGATGAATTAGCCTCTGGCCCAACCCAGAATGCTGTCATTTTCAATAACAAACTCACAAATTGTACTTTGAATTCTTCCTTTCTGGGAAATGGATTTTCAACTATTCTAAACTACTAATTGTTTAGGCTAAGCCACGCTATAGTTTTTTAGCCCTTCTTGGAAGGGAGGGGAAGAGACATTACATATAGTTTGAGAGCATCTTATGAAGAAAGACAATGACAAAACTTGTGCCTAAGTCATGCAGGCCACCGTCCTCTTTGTGCTCTTTAAATTTCATGTAGGGATCTTTAAGGGCCTATCCTGTAATTTTTTCAACATGCTTCCCTCTAGTGAGGGTAAAAAGGGACTGCAGACGCCAGCCTTCTTGTGACATTCCACTTCTTCAAGACCTTTGCAAATGCTGTACCCCATCACTTCACAACTACCCTTCCCTCCCCTCTTACCCAGCTAACTCCTCCTCCAGATCTCACTGTAAAGTCCATGTCTTCAAAAAACCCTTCCCTTCTTTACCCACCCCATCTAAATTAGGCCTCCACTATTCTAAGATCAGTTCATGGTATTTACCACAATTCATAATTATATATTTGTGTGCATTTGGTTAACATTTACCCCTCTTCCTTCCCCATTACAGTGCAAGCTGCATGTGGACAGGAACATGCTGGCGCTACATCCGTGTGTCTAGTGCCTAAAACAGCTTGGCACATCATAAGTGCTCTCTCTCTCTCTCTCGTTCTCTCTTTCTATATATTTTTAATGGTTAGCAGCTTTTCTTTAGTTTTTTTCCCTAAAGATGGTATGCCCAATATTGACTCCAGTTTCTTGGGATACAAATTATTCATGGTATCTACAAAACGTAAGGGCTTATTAAAATGTCTGCTCTAGTCCACATACTGTGTTTGTTGCTTTAAATGCTATTGCTGATTCTCACAATGGCCCTGCAAGGTAGAGATAATCACCCCACTTTACAGATAAGGACCCCAATGTCCAGAGTGGTCAATTAAATTCCTCATAGTTATATACCTTGTAAGCAGTGGCAACACCAGACTTTAAATCCTTCAAACCCAGAGTCAAGAGTCTGTGCTCCTTCTGCTCAGTCCTCCTCAAATAGGGTATACAACCCCCCAAAGGTACACCCCAGCAGGCCGAGGAGCATGAGAAACCACCAGACAATGTGTGGTTTCTTTTGGTATTTCTTTTTTTCCTGATGATAACACAAAATATTTTTATGTTAAAACTGACAGATATATTGTAAGGTGTAATGTATAGTAGCACTATTCAAAGGAATTTAAAAAACAAAACACAGAAGTTAAAAAGAAATTTCATGCCCGTTGTTGCCCAGGCCTGTCTTAGGAACTTCCTTGGGAAAACATGAAAAGCACTTATTTGTCACTCTGTCTTCATATTATGTCCTTTTTCCTTGTTGCTGTATTTTTTTAAATGTCAACGTTCCAACCTCAATCTTCATTTTCTGCTCCTGTCCGATTAAAATATTTAATGAAAATGGCAGTGTGTCAACCATGGCATTGTCATTTTCGAAGTCGTTTATGAGGACACCTTTGTGTAGGTACAATAAATCTGATTGATTTTTATTACACATCTTAGTTTAGAATCACTTTTACATTCCTAGACAAAGAGATGATACAAATAAATATCAATTGTAAAACTTAGAGCCCCAAGTATTGGCATATTCTTTGTCTAAAGGTAGCCAAAGAGAAGGTCAAGATCAATAGCAACTCCAAGGAGCCATAAAGCCCACCACTTCTTGCCTGCCCCAGGATCACTCCTTTCATAAATAACCTCAAAAGCATTTCATTCAAGAAAGGAGGGCAGGCAGAAAGGTGACAGATTCCTGAACAATACAAGACAAAGAGGGCAGGCAGAAAGGTGACAGATTTCTGAACAACACAAGACAAAGCCTTGCGTGATAGACAGTAGCCAGGCCCACTATTCTTATCCAGTTCCCTCTGAGCATTTTTAGTATGGCTTTTAGAGTACATTAATAGCCCCATTTTCATCCACAGATGGGGTTTAGGTGGTCCAAGGTGTTGTTTGCACTATGCCTCCACCTTAAGTGGGAAATGTTGAGGCAGAACTGATATCCTGTGTTAACAGGGAATCGACACTTCTCAGAAACTTGGCAATGGTTCTACATTCAGTGAGGAAGGACTTACTAGAGTCTGACAGGAAAACAAGCAGAGAGCGGCCCATGCCTGAGCTGCAGCTCTCTGGCGCCCTTGGTCATGGAGGTGTGGGTGGAGCAATTCAAGCAGCATGCAGGCTTAGGGGGAACGATCCAACGTTAGGTCAGAGTCTTAAGAAAGTGCTTCATGCCTATGATTTGTGGCCTTGCGCTCTGAATCCAGGGGTCTTGTGACTTTAAAACACCAAGCCAGATACATTCTACCGATCAGAGCACACAGGGGTCTGAAGAAGGTTGCACCAACAGTCTCAAACTCCTGCTGCTGATAATCACTAGATCCTGTTAAGACTTCAGCAGCTGCAGCTGGCATGACAGCCCTCAGATGGCTTGGACCATTCTAGCATGACTACAGACATTAAAAACCTGGTCCCTCAGTGGGCTTGGTGGGTCCTCTATATACTTGGTTCAATTCAGAACTGAAAGCAGCAGCTTTCTGGTGGCAGCAAGACATTCTACCATCTGCTCTATTCAAATATTTATCGGATCCATTCTGAGAGAGGAAAAGCACCAGAGACTGGTTGGAAAGGGACAGCTTCCCTCCAAGTGGGTGTTCCTTTACTGTGTCCATAGACCACCACATGAACACAGCTTAGTACAAGGTGAGTTTGTTTTAAGAATCATGCCTGTCAACCTGGCTTCCTTCTTTTACTTTTGTAGAAAAGTTCTATGTGTCACTTAACCACTCTCGGTCAGAAAAGCCACCTTGAGATCTTAGCATTAAGGTCTGGTGTTACTCGTAGTTTTCAATTCTCAGATATGCTACATGAATATTTTTGGCCTACAGAATTCAGACTAACTTTGAGGAAATATGGTGGGAGAGACATGTGTAACCAGCAGATAACCATCTTAGGCTATCCACCTCATTGTTTGGTTCCTATTCAAACGGGCAAATTCTTAGTAAACAAGAAAGAAACACGTTTGATCTAGAGAAAAGATGAGGGAAGGCTCCATTATGCTCTGGGAACTGCCAAAAAGGGTCCTTGGGTGCAAAAAGAATGGTTACTAAAAAGGAGATAAGTGGCCAGACAACAGATCTCCATCTTGCAGAATGCTAAGACATTGCACTTGGTACCTCCTCTTTCCCACAGGTTCTGATCCAGAATTGTGCCCTGGGAACTGAGCAGCTGAGTTAAAATATAATAAATAACTCAGGGCCCACCTGAGTCGCCACTGTCCTGAGGCACCGTGCCAGCAAGGTGCACCAGTGTGGCAGACCTGGGGACTCCTATTGTCCCCTCAGGCTTGGCTCATGGACTCAGACATCCCTGTGGGAGTGCTTCCAGCCTGGATTAGTCATTAAATGGGCCTTTAATACAGACAAAAGGCAATAACTGCACATTAGTATACTTCTAAAATTGGGCAAGTTCTGGGTCTTTCTCTCTCTTACAGACACGCATGGACACACTCACAGAACACAGGCACCACTGTGCTCACACACCCATACACACTTAAGAGCTTCTCTGGGGGGAATGTGAGTAACAGTCACCTGATAACCAACATAAAATGAAGCTTCAAATCTCAATAATACAAGAAACTAAAACTTACAAACCAAACTAGTATATGTAAACGGGAATTCTGAACTCTCCTCTGAGCCTATTCGATCACACAGCCATTCCTCACCAGTGTCTCAGGCTCCACCTGGAGGGAGCCCCAGTTCTAGGGTTCGGTGAGTTCTCTGCTGAAAGCAGGCAGGGCTCATTTACTTCCGACGGTTATGTCTTCCCTTCCCACTGCGCTGAGTCTCGTGTCTCCATCTCTGCATCTGCCTAGTGACTCTTTGGCTCTTTATGCCAATATGGAACAAAATGGGGAATTCAAAAGTGCCACTATGTGTCTCCTTCCCTCAGTTCTAGTCCCGCCAGTGAAGGCAGAGTCAGCCTCCCTTCTCCCGCAAAATAGGCCCACTGTAGCGCACACACTGGAGGCAGACGATGGGCCTATCTATGCAAGGATGCTCAGAGGATGTGTGCATGGGAAAAGATGGGGACAAATAAAGAGTAAAGTGACCTGGTGTATTGTATGACATGGCACCGGCTTGTAGACTCAGGCCTTTGATAGGATGGTCATGGTTTTGAGGTTTTAAAGAAGTTGTTTCCCTAAATGCTCCAAGGAGGCAAAGGGAATGTTATTTCTATTGCTTCCAACATTGAATCCCTCAGGAGCAGAGATTGGAAGAGACTTCCTCATTGAGCAGATCCAATTCTCACAGATGTGCATGGAAGCGAGGCTGCTGATGGTGCCCACCTGGGGCCTGGATCCAAATGAGATTTTGCATTTCTCTCTATAAGAACAGGCACGCATTCAAGTTCTAGGGCCTTTCCACCTCAGTGTCATTTTATCCTAAGGCTCCAAAGATGTGGTCCTGCCAAAGTAATTCTGCCCTATTGTTCAACAAGAAGGGAGCCCAGTGTAAAGAACAGGCTAGAAAAGGAGAGGGGAGAGAAGTGAGGGCAGGAGAAGGGGAAGGAAAAGAAGAAAAGGGAGAAGGGAAGCAAGGTCACTGGTCATTCTCTTGCTTTCCACTTGGACTACTGCACTTTACCTTACCCATGCATTTCTGAGATGCTAATTAAAAGACGTTTCCCAGAGGGACTGAGTGCCGGATTAGGACCAGCACGTTCGACCAGATTAAGTTGGTTAATCTGCAAAGAGGCCATTGCTTCTCCTCAGGGGAACAGTTCTGAGTTTAGGCTCAAGTCCTCTCTGCAGCTTTTTGTCTCTTCTCTCAGAAGGCAAATGCTGTTTACGCCCTGGGAGAGGAGGAACTGGCTTTACTTTGGAACCAGCCCCCGAGACTGTGGATAAAGCTGAGATGCAGGGGTTCCTGAGGAAGAAGAGGAGGATCCCGACTTCCTTCCACTTTTAGGCCTGCAAAAGTCAAACACACGTTTATATTGCACATCCCATCTTCATCCCTGACACATCAAGTACTATTAACATTCCAAGTGGCCTTTCTCCAGTGGCTGAAAACCAGCATACTTTCAGCTATGAAACCACTAGGCTGGCACAGCCTGACCTTCTGGGCAAGGCTAACACGGCCTCTCAACAGAAGGCTGAGGGAGGGGAAGGGTCTCTGATTTTCAGTAATTGTTCTTCCATTAAAATCAAAGCTTGACTGTCATCTTTTTTTTTTTTTTTAAGACAGAGTCTTAAGCTGTCGCCCTGGGTAGAGTGTAGTGGCGTCACAGCTCACAGCAACCTCCAACTCTAGGGCTTACACAATTCTCTTGCCTCAGTCTCCCAAGTAGCTGGGACAACAGGCGCCCACCACAACACCCAGCTATTTTTTGGTTGTAGCTGGCATTGTCGTTTGGCAGGCCCGGGCTGGATTTAAACCTGCTAACTCCGGTGTATGTGGTTGGCGCCCTACCCACTTGAGCTACAGGTGCCGAGCCACTTGACTGTCTTCTCCAAATTGACAAAACAATATTAAATTTGCAGGTAGAATTTCTTCCATTTGGGGGTTTCCACCTAGTTATTTTCCTGAAACTTCTAATCTCAAATTTAATGAAACAGAATTTCTACTCTTGCACCAAATGGATGAGGTAAACTTAGCACGGAGGCCTGGAGCCTGAGTAGTGGATTTCTACATCTACACACCCAGGTTTGAACTTCAGCTCTGCCACTTACTTGCTGGGTTTCCTTGGATGTGGCTAATTTCTCAAATTTTCTAAGTCTTAGCTTTCTCATCTGTAAAATGGGACTGACGATAATATTTACAAGATTTTTTCCAGGAAATTATTAAAAGAATTCTTACAAAGCACTTAGGATGAGACCTGACACCAAGTGGGAACTGAAGAACTGACCCCAATTTCAGCAGGAGACATGCTCCTTACAGGTCTGGGTGCATTAAGCATTCTTGTATTCAGTATACCTGGCATAATGTCTCGACCATAAATATTTTGGGAAGAAATAAGTAAACGCAGAAGTAATATGGCATTATTTTCTAGCATGTTCTGCAAAGCATTCCATGATAAGCAAACACTCTTGTCACCCTTTACCTTGGTTTGTCCTTGTTCAAATATGTTCTGTTTGTTGTTCAAACACAAGTCATCCAAGCCACTCACCTGGCCTTAGATTTCTTATTTGCAGTGCTTTCGAAGGATGATGCATCCACCTGTATCTCATCTTCATCCTGCAGCGCTGCATCCAGTGCAGCCTGGACCTTGGGGGCGATGGCTGGGCCCTCATAGTCTCTGGTGGTCCGGCTGGGCATGTCCAACTCTAACAGCACAATGTTTTCTGCCTGCAGAATCACAGCCATCACCAGCCATCCATCAGGAGGTTGGCCTCCTTTCAGACACAGGGAGGGCAAGCAATCTAGGTCCCTCCAAGAATAGAACTATGCAGGGCCTGCCACGAAAGAACCTGCCTACAAGAAGTAATGTGGGCTCGGTGCCCGTAGCACAGTGGTTACGGTGCTAGCCACGTACACTGAGGCTGGCGGGTTCGAACCTGGCCCAGGTCAGCTAAACAACAACGACAACTGTAACAAAAAATAGCCAGGTGTTGTGATGGGTGCCTGAAGTCCCAGCGTCTGGGAGGCTGAGGCAAGAGAATCGCATAAGCCCAAGAATTTGAGGTTGCTGTGAGCTGTGACACCACAACACTCTACCCGGGCAACAAAGTGAGATTCTTGTCTCAAAAAAAAAAAAAAAAAAGTAGTAATGTAGTTTCATCATTTTTTTCCTAGTGGGATTCAGGTGATTTTTATTTTCTTCTCTATGCTTTCCTGTATTTCCCTTCTCTTTCTTTTAAACAATGAACATGTTTTATAGCCTAAGGGAAATGATCCAGGAAAAATTATTAATTAAGCAAAACCTATGTATTACTGACAATTTGAAAATAGAAAAAGGTATGAAGAAGAAAATAGTAATTACCAATAATGTCACCACCTGCAGCAGCACTGATGAACTCTGCAGCTGCCGAAGGGAGAAGGCAGTGGGATGTACGCTGAGGGTGTGTGTGACAGTGCACGTGCTTATATGTGCACTTTAAAACCCGACTGGGCCCCACCTCATAACTGGCCTTGTGGATTGATTCCTTCCTTCCTTTGGTATCTGGTGTAAGCCTTTCCTAATTCCTCAGACAAGAGTACAGAGGGAAGAGCACCCACAGTTTCATACCTGCCATCTTCTCTAACTCCTCCTAGTCAGTGAAGCTCTAGCCCCAGGGCTCCAGGGGTGGGGCAGGTGGAGCCACTGCAGGGAGAACGTGAAGAGAGAGAATGGCTCCATTTTCCAGCTTTAGATATTCAGATAGTGCATAAAATTTCTCCAGAAGAAGCATGTCTACTGCTAAAGACATTTGAGAGTCTCTGCGGCTTTAAATTCTACTTTTGAATCCAGTTAGATCCCTAAAACCCGGCATGTTTGATTTGGGCCCTTTAAAGTCAGGTTTTTGGCTTAAGACATGAAATAACTGGCAAGAGATGCACCATCAGCAACTACTAGAAAAATGCTTCTGAGGATGCTGAGTGACATACCACTCATCATCCACCATATAAAACCCCACTGATCTTCTTGCACTTCCTTTTCTTTATTTTAAATGAAGTGCCAGAAAGAACAGTGCCTGGGGAACACACTAATCCTAATCTTCTGTTTGGCTCTGGTTGCCAAGGGAGACTCACATTTTTTCCCTTTTAAGTGAAAATCTTTCATTATAAAAATAATGCAGGTTCCCTGTTTATAGTTATAAAATGCAGGGAAGCAATAAGAAGAGAATTTAGGCTGAGCATACTTCCACTAACCGGAGATAACCAGTTCACATTTTGATATATTTCATAACAGACTTTTTTATTCATATATACACTTCTGGTATAAATTTTTTTATAACTGGACATTATGTCTCCAAGTTCACCTACTTGCCAGCTACCTGACTCATTGCATCAAGTAGGTAGGAGAGTTCAATTAGAGAAAACAATAGAGGGTCAAGAACATAGCAAGTACTTACAAATAGAAGCTCTCAAGGCATTTTTTTTTTTTTTTTTTGAGAAAGAGTCTCATTATGTCCCCCTTGGTACAGTACCATGGTGTCACAGCTCACAGCTACCTCTAACTCTTGGGCTTAAATGATTCTCTTGCCTCAGCCTCCCAAATAGCTGGGACTACAGGCACCCACCACAACACCTAGCTATTTGTTGTTGTTGTTGTTGTTATTGTTGTTGCAGTTGTCATTGTTGCTGTAGCTGGCCCAGGCCAGGTTTGAACCCACCAGCCTCAGTGTATGTGGCTGGTGCCGTGACCATTGTGCTACAGGTGCCGAGATTCTCATGGCATTTTTATTGTGAAATATTTTTTGGTCATTAAATAGTCCTCAATTACATCACTTTAAATGACTACATGACTGACATGCAATTTTTTCTTTTTTTTGAGACAGTCTCAGTTTGTTGCTCTCAGCTGAGTGTCATGACATCATAGCTCACAGCAACCTCAGACTCTTGGGCTCAAGTGATCCTCTTGCCTCAACGTCCCAAGTAGTTAGGACTATAGGTGTGTCCATTTCACCCAGCTAGTTCTTCTATTTTTAGTAGAGACTGGGTCTCTCTCTTGCATAGGCATGCCTGGAACTCCTGAGCTCCAGCAATCCACCCACCTCGCCCTCCCAGAGTGCCAGGATTACAGGTATGAGCTACCATGCCTGGCCCTGACATGCAATATGCGAGATGGAAATACTAGAAGTTCTTTACCACAAGCCCATCTCCTGTCACAAGGCATCTGCATTCTTTCTTGCCTTCCCACAGAACAGTTTGAAGTTTTTTTGATTTTTTTTTTGAGACAGAGTCTTGCTTTGTTGCCCTTGGTAGAGTGCCGTGGCGTCACAGTTCACAGCAACCTCCAACTCCTGGGCTTAGGTGATTCTCTTGCCTCAGCCTCCCGAGCATCTGGGACTATAGGTGTCTGCCAAAATGTCTGGCTGTTTTTTGTTACAGTTTGGCTGAGGCCGGGTTCGAACCCACCACCCTCGTTATATGGGGCCGGAGCCCTGCTCACTGAGCCACAGGTGCCGCCCTGAAGTTTATTGTTAACGTTTGCTGTCCACTATGAACAGATGGCTGCACTCTCCTCCTTCCCTAGTCTTGACTTTCTAAATCTTATTCTAGAGGATTAAACATCATACTTACTACAACAGTCACCAATATCACAATCTGTGTCTCATGTGATCATTTATACGGTCGCGACATTATTCTACTTTATTATTAATATAAGTTATCATTATTGTTATATTTATTTATTTGTCATAATTGTTATTGTTATAAATATCTTCAACTACTTCTGGAAAGCACCAGGGCACAAACTCTGGGCAGAACATTGCCCTAAGGGTTTACATAGATCTAAACTACTTCAAAGAAGAGAAAAGGAAAAACCCCCAAACAATCTTCTCACCCTGTATCGAGCCTCTGGACGCATCATCATGGACATTCTTGCATGCTGGCTCAGTGGTCTCTTATACCCCACGGCTGAGACTGGCCGCTTCATCATCTGCTGATTCCTGGAAATGGACTGCAGCGTTAGAGGCCTGGCTGCAATGTGTCCCACAGCCCCGGCCCCAGGATTGGCCCTGTGGAACAAGCACTTAGAAAACTCTGAGCCAGACAGAACCTGAAGCAAGTAACTCTCTGGACCAAGGAATGATGTAAGTAGGGCAGGAGCTGCTTCTATTTTCTGCTTGAGTTGCTTTCTGATTCAGATGTGAGTGTCATTCATCTTTTAAGCCAGAAGGGAGCTTAGTCATCATCCAGTTCTTAGATGGCAGACACAAAAGCCTAGCTGTCAACATTCCCCACCTCTGCATCCTTAGCAGACAACTCCCATCTTCCTAGCAGGGCTCAGACTCAGACTGAGAGTCCTCAACACTGTGGGTCAGGCTGACACACAGAAAACACTTCTGTGCCGCCCCTCACTTGGCCTAGCACATGCTTCACTCCACAACTGGGGAAATGGAAATGCAGGAGCTTGAGTTAGGTCGTTAGTTTACCGTGACAAAGTCTTCCCATCCCTATTTCCACACTCATCAATAAACTTTTACCTCGTGGATCCCCAGCAACTACAAAGTTAGAAATGCCATTGATTCTTGGTTAAAATGAATCAAACTGTGCTCTTACCATACCCTTTTGTCCAAGTCCAACTTATCAACATTTTTGCCCTTCTCCCCCCATGAAAGTCTACTTAAAGTTAACAGTGACTTACTCCAGTCTGGTTATAGGGTGTAATTTCCAATGATCTTCCTCTTCATCAAAGAATGATCTATTCATAATTTTATTTTTTTCTTCCAGAGGAATAAAGTTTTCTATAATAAGATGCCTGTAAGAGCACACAGAACATGGGTGAATACAGATGAAGAATACACACAGAATGCTGGCTATCTGGTCTCATGTACAATGAGTAATTAGATAAGACTCAAGGAATTTAGCAAACATTTACTGAGCAGGTACTATGGACCTAACATCATGCAAAGAGCTAGGATACAGATATAAATGTCATGTTCATGCCTGAGACAAAGAGGTAACGGTGCAGCACCCTTACATATGACAGGTGCTGACATTGGTCTGATTTAGAAATATGGAGAAATTACTTCTGCCTGGGCAGGATCAGCTTGAGGATGTGAACAGGCTGAAGGAGGTAATGCCTGGGACTATATTGGTGGAGGGCCACTGGTGCTGCTAACCCAGGTCAGTAACTTCTAAAATGTCAAAAACAAGGCTGGGCATGGTGACTCATGACTGTAATCATATACTCTGGGAGTGTAGCACTCTGGGAGGCAAGGCAGGAGGATCCCTTGAGCTTAGGAGTTCAAGACCAGCCTGGGTAAAAGCAAGACCCCATCTCTACATCAAAAATAGAAAAATTATCTGTTGTGGTAGGTGCCTATAGTCCCAGTTACTCAGGAGACTGAAGCAGGAGGCTCGCTTAAGCACAGGAGTTTGAGGTTGCTATAAGCCAGGCGGAGGGCATAGCACTCTAGCCTGAGCAACAGAGTGAGACTCTGTATCATTCCTAAATAAATAAATAAAATGCTGAAAGCTGGCTGTGTGCAGTGGTTCATGCCTATAATCCTAGTACTTTGGCTCAGCGCCTGTGGCTCAAGCGGCTAAGGCGCCAGCCACATACACCTAAGGTGGTGGGTTCAAATCCAGCCTGGGCCGCCAAACAACGATGGCTGCAACCAAAAAATAGCTGGGCGTTGTGGCGGGTGCCTGTGGTCCCAGCTACTTGGGAGGCAGAAGCAGTAGACCTGCTTGAGCCCAGGCGTTGGAGATTGCTGTGAGCTGCGATGCCACAGCACTCTACCCAGGGTGATAGCTTGAGGCTCTGTCTCAAAAAAAAAAAAAAAAAAAATTCTAGTACTTTGGGAGACCAAGCAGGAGGATTGCTTGAGCGCAGGAGTTTGAGACCACACTGAGCAATATAGCGAGACTCTTGTCTCTTAAAACAGAAAAAATTAGACAAGTGTGTGGTGGTGTGTGCCTATGGTCTCAGCTACTCAGGAAGCTGAGGCAGGAAGACTGTTAGAGCACAAGAGTCTGAGGTTGTAGTGAGCTGTGATCATGCCACTGCACTCTAGCCTGGTCAAAAGAGTGAGACCCTGTCTCAAAACAAACAAACAAAAAATTGCTGAAAACATTAGAAATTAAGCTGCCTTCCTCTAGTCCCAAGGCTTGTTGTTCAATCTGGAAAATGTCCCATTCTAATTAACCAAGACAAAGAACAGAACCAAATGGATTTCAGTCCCTTAGTGCACTGAGAATGAAGGCCATTCCTGAGAAGTCTCTGCCTGACAAGTGCCCAGGAAACATTTCAAACAAGGAAACCGGAACCCACTGGGCTGCATCTCTCCATGGTGATGACTGACTCCTATCACGGCTCTGCCTTCACTCTTTCAAAACCTTAGGACAGAACAATGCCAAAGGACTGCTTATGTGGGAGCGATGCAGAACAAACACCACAGAAGTGTTGGGGACTGTGAGAAACAGGCTGACTCACTGTTTATTCAAAAGATATAAAAAAGAGCTACAACAATGAAAAATGGCTTCCTTAGGAAAAAAGTATTTTGGGGAGATAATATTTTCTGTCTTCGTTTTTCATAACCTATATTTAAGTTTTTCCAATTTTTATATCAGAAATGTAAAAAACATAATTACCCACAATTTCAGTATCTAGAAATAACTATTAGTAATATTTTGATATATATTTTATTCTGACCTTTTTTCTAGATGTACATACATACAAAGAGCATAGTATAACACACATGTTTAATATTAAGGGTTCCTTTCCAAATTTGAAATTTGGTCATTAAAAAATTTCTCTGAGGTTCAGCGCCCATGGTCAGTGGTTCGGCACCAGCCATGTATGCCAGGGCTGGCAGGTTTGAATCCAGCCTGGGCCTGCCAAACAATGACAATTACAACCAAAAAATAGCCAGGCATGGTGGGCACCTGTAGTCCCAGCTACTTGGGAGGCTAAGGCAAGAGAACTGTTTAAGTCCAAGAGTTTGAGGTTGCTGTGAGCTGTGATGCTATAGCACTCTATCACAGGTGACATAGTAAGACTCTATCTCAAAAAAAAAAATTCCTTTGAAAAGTTTTTCTTTACAGAAAAATTCTAGATCATGATGCATAAGGAATGATATAGAATAGAAAAACAATGGGCAGTGCCTGTGGCTCACTGAGTAGGCTGCCGGCCCTATATACCGAGGGTGGCGGGTTCAAACCTGACCCGGCCCAACTGCAACCAAAAAATAGCCGGGCGTTGTGGCGGGTGCCTGTAGTCCCAGCTACTCGGGAGGCTGAGGCAGGAGAATCGCCTAAGCCTAGGAGTTGGAGGTTGCTGTGAGCTGTGTGACACCATGGCACTCTACCAAGGGTGATAAAAGTGAGACTCTGTCTCAAAAAAAAAAAGAATAGAAAAACGATGTTTTTTAACCACTAATGAAATAATGGTTTCAGACAAAGATCATTGTTGGCTGAAACAACTAGCTCCGTGGTTCTCAAGCCAGAATGCACATTAAAATCACCTACAAAGTTTTGAAAAATATCTTGCTCAAACCTCGTGAGAGACCAATAGTTCTCAGTGTGTTCACCAAACCAGTAGGAGGAATACCTAAAACCTGTTAGAAATAAAAATTCTCAGGCCCTGCCCCAGACTTACTAACTCAGACTCTTTGGGAGAGGCCCAGCAATCTGTGTTTAACGAGCCCTTCAGGTGATTCTGATGTCTGTTAAAGTTTAAGGACCACTGCCCTAGACCAGTTAAATCAGGATGGGGGAGAGGCAGGCATTACTATTTTTTAAAACTCCTTGGTGTATAGCCGAGATTGAGAACCAGTGCTTCGGAGCTAGCTTTCTGTGAAAGCGATATAAGGTGGATAGAAACATAGTTAACTGATACACTGAAGAAAGAGACTAACAAACCCAGAATGTAGGCTATATCTATAGGCTATCTGACCCAACTATGAACAAAAATTTTTTTTTTTTTTTGAGACAGAGCCTCAAGCTGTCCCCCTGGGCAGAGTGCCGTGGCATTACAGCTCACAGCAACCTCCAACTCCTGGGCTC